GAGCGGCTCCGCTACGCCATCCCCGAGGAGCTGGGCAGAGGCTCGCTCGTGGGGCCGCTGGCGCGGGACCTGGGGCTCAGCGCGGACGAGCTGCCGGCGCGCAAGCTGCAGGTGGCGTCTGCCGGCAAGAAGCAGCTGCAATACTTCACGGTGAGTGAGGAGAACGGGAACCTGTACGTGAACGAGAGGCTGGACCGGGAGGAGATGTGCGGAGAATCGGCGACCTGCTCCGTCAGCTTCGAGGTGCTGGTGCACAACCCGCTGAACGTATTCCACATTGAGGTGGCCATTGAGGACGTGAATGACAACACCCCAGTTTTTAGCAACGCTGCTCTGGAGCTCGAGATTGGTGAATGGACCCTTTCCGGTGCTCGTTTTCCTTTGGAAATGGCACGAGATGCAGACCTAGGAAGCAACTCCCTGCTGACTTACCAACTCACGAGCGACCCGTCCTTCTCACTGTCAGTGAAAGACAAGCCGGGTGGAAAGAAGCAGCCGGAATTAGTACTGGAGAGAGCTTTGGACAGGGAGAAGCAGAGTTCTTTTGAGCTGGTGCTGACAGCAGTGGACGGTGGGGAACCTGTGAGATCCGGGACTGTCCTGGTTCGCATCAATGTGACAGACGCAAATGACAACCCACCTGTGTTCAGCAAAAGCGTATATGAGGAACGCGTGGCAGAGAATTTGCCAGTGGGATCATCAGTGTTGCGGGTGCGAGCCACGGATGTGGACTTGGGCGCAAATGGGCGAGTTTCCTACTCCTTCAGCAACGTCCCAGACGAGGTGCTCTCATTGTTCGCTATTGAGAGTGAGAGTGGAGAGATCAAAACTGTGGGTCCTCTCGATTTCGAGGAGAAAAAAAAATACGTTTTTGGCTTGGAGGCGATGGATGGTGGCGGGCTCACCGATCACTGTGAAGTGCAGATCGATATCACGGACGAGAATGACAACACGCCCGAAATCACGATTCTTTCACTGTCGAGCCCAGTGCCTGAGGACGCTCTGGTGGGCACCGTGGTGGCCGTGTTGAACGTGAACGACCCGGACTCCGGCGAGAATGGTCAGGTGTCGTGCGAGCTGTCGGGAGAGGCGCCGCTGTCGATCGTGGCGTCGTCGGGCGGCTCGTACAAGGTGGTGACGGCCGGCGCGCTGGACCGAGAGCAGGCGTCCGAGCACCGCGTGACGGTGGTGGCCCGGGACCGGGGCAGGCCGGCGCTGTGGAGCAGCGCGGAGCTGGTGCTGGAGGTGTCGGACGTGAACGACAACGCGCCGGTG